AGCGCAGGGTGCATCCACCTCGCCAGTGTGGATGTTATAAAACTTCACGTTTAAAGTCCGTGTTTGTCACGCATGTGCGTGCGTGCGTGTGTGTGTGTGTGGGGCGGGGGTGTCTGCCGCGGATAATGGAGCAGGCAGGAGGGGGAGAGGACGAGGAGAAGAGGGGTGGACTTATTTCTAATTTTATCTGACTTTCATGAGGTACTTTGCATTGACTGTTTATGGTTGAGTGTGGGCGTGTAGAGGGTAGAACCTGAGGCGGGACCTCGTGCGCAAACTCTGACGTGCGGCTGTGATTTATAAAGGAAAGATGCGCAGAAACATGCGTACGTACGGTTTTATAAATCTGAATTTTTTTTTGATGTACGCCATTTCCACCTTTTGGCCGAACGTTCACTTTTAGTATGGTTTCCACGCAATCCTTTATAAATGAGACCCCAGGTCTTTGTGACCCACTACTCTGCATGTTTCAGGTGTTTCCCTGCTCTTCAGCAGGTCTTTAAGTTCTGCAGAAGCCTGTGAATCACTTGTTCATTTAAATCAGATGTGCCAAAGCAGGGAAACAACTAAAACATGCATGAATAGTGGGTCACAAAGACCGGAATTGAGAACCACTGAGCTAAGCTAACAGCTGATATCATATTGACTTGTTCACTATTAAAATGCTAATGTGTAGCTGATATTAAGCAGGTTTAACGTTAACCACTGTACGCTAAGTCTCAACAATTTACAGCTAATTTAGCAACTAAGATGAATTTGTTCAATATCAAAATGCTATTGTTTATCAGATATGTTAACCACAGCATGCTGAGTCTTAGTGTACAGCTAACAAATAATATCTGATAAATGTTGATCAAAATGCTAATGTTTAGTTGATATTTACCAGGTACACTAGTAACCACTGTATGATAAGTCTCAACAGTCTGCAGCGACGCTAACAGCTAATCTTGGATACATTTKTTTACCATAAAAAAGCTAATGTTTAGCAGGTATAATAGTAAGCACTGCATGCTAATTCTCAACAGACTACTGCTAACCAAGCAAATACTATTGGACACATTTGTTTACCACAAAAATGAAATTTCTAATTATTTATCCTGGCACACATAGTGGAAGTATATACTGTATGAGGACCCTAAAGCACACCAGGGATACCTTCCGGATACCTTCCGGATGCTGACCCAGAACACAAAAGCGTGGAGGACTTTTTTTTTTTAGCTGTAAGTAAATAAGTAACTCTTGTTTATTATGCACTTCTGGTTTAGATGCAATCTGCATTTTGTTGCCTTGGACCTGTGACAATGACAAAGTTAAATCTATTCTAAATCTAATCAGTCATTAGTTTTCTTCTCCTGTTTTATAAAATCTACACGACGAACAAAAACAAAAACAACAACAAAAAAACTAAACAGAGGGATGCAATGCCACAATAATCCCCTGTTATTTAACCACAGAACTATGATGCTGTTACAGGTTTACATGTTTTTCCATGTCTTTGGATGGATGTTTGGGTAAATTACAYCCAGGTACATGTTTTAAAGTCCTCCACCCAAGCTCCCATGTGGGTCTCTGAAATGTTTCCTGTTTACGCCAGCAAACAAAGATAAACACAGCACAGACAATTATAATAATTAGTGTAATCTGATTAGGGTGACGGTGATGAGAATGATAATGAGACAGCAGTTTGCTCGGCACAATCAAACCCATCTCATTCTTTACATGTTGGACTTTCAGGACCTGATGTTTCAGACTTTCAAAGAAGAAGTGAAAAAAAAGAGGAAGAGATGATGTTGTTAGTGTGTTAGATGGCTATTTGGATGAATCACACCWGATTAATTCCCATAATCCTCTGTTTTTTGGCAGCTGAGGGCTCGTTGAARAGGGGCTCGACAGCTGAAAACACAAAGGAGAGGCCAAAAGCATAAAAATCACTCAGCTCGATTTCAGCTTGCATTTTTTTTTCAATGAGTCTGTGCTTTTTAAAAGGAAGATGGAGATTTTCGAGTGGTGTCTTCCCAAACGTTTAATTCCAGATGATTCTGCATAAATTCTCTCAGATATTTCACCCGAGGGATGCCACGACTATCACAAAAAAAAAAAGGAAGAAGAGAGCCCAAAACAATACGACTGCAGCGAGACAGGAAATCTGGGTCCTCCTGAAGATGTGTGCCGGCAGTTGCCACGGTAACGGCCTTTTCTGCTTTTCATTAAAGCTCAATGGGTGCTGCCCCGCTCGCTCTCTCTCTCTCTCTCTCTCTCGCTCGCCCGCCGGCTTTCTGTCGGTGCGTTTAAAAAGGCGCGGCCGCGTGGAAACGTGTGCGCGGGCTCAGTGTGAAAAAGGCAAATTAAGCTAAGTGAGGAAGCCCGGAGTCCGATCGGATCGGTCCTCACGTGTGATCGGTGAGAACTGGGCCACACCACGCAGACCAGGACCGGGCCACACCACGCAGACCAGAACTGGGCCACACCACGCAGACCGCTCCTGTGAGAGATACAAATGGCGTTTTCACATTTCATCATCGTTAGGACATCCATCCATCTATATACATCTATACCCGCTTCTTCCTTTCAGGGTCTCAGGGGTCACTGGTGCCCAAAACCAGAGGAGCGGGGTACACCCTGGACAGCAAGTCCATCACAGGGACACACATAGACACAAACGACTCTAGGGACAATTTAGAGTTATGAATTAACCTGACWGTCATGYTTTTGGTCTGTGGGAGGAAGCTGGAGTACCTGAAGAAAACTCACACATGCACGGAGAGAAGACACAAACTCTACACAGAAAATTCCCCGGGCCGGGATTTGATCCAGCGACCTTCTTGCTGAGAGGCAACAGCTCTACCAACTGAACCTCGGTGCCATCATTGTTAGGTCAGTATGTTAAACCTTTATGTCTTCCTTAAATCAGTCCATCCTAAATAAAAACAGACATCAGGTATTAATAACACTAAAGCTCTGTTAGTCTGATCATCATCATGGCCAAACAACAAGTAACCTGTGGGGTGGGGTTCTGGATCCAGGTCCTGATCCAACAAACACCAGGAGAAACTGATCTGGACTAAACTTAAATATAGATAAGACTTTACTGTGTGAATGCTGACTCAGCGACTGTTGGAGGCTTTTTTGTGCTCAAACTACTTTCAGCTGTTTCAGGAAATTACAGCTGTGAGTTTAAAGTTTTATAATT